TGGTGGGCACATCTGACCTCCCACACACAACACAGTCTAAGGGGGACTAAACAGAGCATGGAGCAGAGTAGAGACCACAGCCAGGGTTTGTCCAAACCTGTGCAGAGAAGGGAACTCAGTGGTACTTCCTAGCTGAAAAGCTGCTTAGCACCTGAAAAACAAGGGAGAAAAAGGAAGCCCTTGAATTAGCAACCATGACAAAATCCCTCTCCTTGCACTGACACATCCCCATCCCAAGGTTATCTCAGGTACTCTGCTGACATTCGCACCCCCAAGGTCCCACACCCTCAGTGAGTGAGGTGTGTGGCTCAAGTCACTCCGTCTCTGCCTAAATATAAAGAAATAGTATAAAAGTAAATTAAGAATGGGAAGAAGTCAGGGAAGTCTCCAGAGTAACTTCTGGGATCAGTTGATGTAGGGGAGTAGAATCTAGGTAAATAAAGGTAGTATAGAAAGTAACCTTACCCTCTAAAGAGTTGCAGCTGAGCCGAGTATTAAGGATTAGGTGCAGGCTGATGTTAACAGGCTGCAGTTGTAGCCAATAAAGAAGAGTGCTATAAAAGAGTGGATTGGGTGGCTGAGGGGAACTGGAGTCAGTTGGCTGCTGTGAGGATGAGGCAGAGTCAGTGCTTAGAGGAGCTACTCTACAAGAAACATCAAGGAGGTATGAAACTCTAGCAATATGGAACCTTTGCAATGCAATGGCAATAGATCTCTTGCACTATGATGACAGCAAGTTGATGGGATGAACCTTCTTCTCTCCCACAGGAGACACCTGTTGGGCAAAATCTGTATTCCGTGTTCATGGAATGATTTTCTCGAGTTAAGTTTTGTTAGTATTGGAGCTTGTCGCTGTTGCTTTTAATTATACATTGCTTTGGATATATTTTTCAGTCAGACACTATCCCCCCAGCAATCCTTGAACCCTGTCATAGCTTCATTAATAAAAGGTATTATTCTGTAACCTGTTAATGTGAGTCCTTCAAGGGTGTTGACAGAGAAATCAAACATTAAGGGTTTGAGAAAACTTCCCCTTTCCATGTGACAGGCAACCCAGACTGCCAAAACAGAGATCTGATGGGAAAAGCCCTCAGCTGGTGTTTCCTTCCTTGAAGCCCTGGACAGTGGCTGCTTGTCAGCTTCTTTCCCAGAGGCTGGTTTGGGGAGAATCATGAGAAATTTGTGTGCCATGAAATGGCCGTGTCTAATCATTCACCACTCACCTTCCTCCACAGAGGATGACCAAGGCAGAGAGCCTGTGCTCCAGTCAGTTCACACAGACATCCTTTTTTTTTCTTTAATATCCCCATTAAAAGTCCATGTCTCATGACTTGATCAAAGAATACATATCAAAGTAATTTTTAAAAATGCAACCTTTCTAATCCACCAACATTTAGAGTGGCATCCTGACTTAGGTCTGCTTCAGCACAGAGACATTGATGAAGACTGTAGTAAGAGCTATAAAAATCTATTCATAAGCAACATGAGTTTTTAAGATAAAAATTATGGATCTTCTATATAGAGTAGTAAAAAAATGTGTTGGTACAAAATAGTTTTTAAAAAATGCTCTGGACTCTGTACGAGAGTCTGCAAAAGATTAATAAATTGAGGAGTATTTCTCCAGATACAAATTTGGAAACTGAAGATGTCAATATGGGAAAGAACCAGCACTTCTCATCACTGTACAAGTTCCACCAGCCCCTGGAGACTGGGGGAGCAGTAGATTAACTGCATCCACCCCTGCAGACCCCTGATCAATACAAACCTCAGCATTCCTGTCTGTGCAAAATAGCACATTTCTGCCTGGTTTTGGTTTCTGCACTGACAGAGAAGCAAGCTGGTGGGGAGAGAGGGACTGGTGTGTGCACAGCTCTGAGCTGAGAACTTGTCCCACAGCTTTTATCACCAAACCTTACAAAACTTTTACTTTAAAAACAACTATCAACTGCCTGATCTATTTCTTGAACCAAGTCTGTTCCAGTAGGAACTGAAGAGCAGCACTCCTAGCAGAAAAGAAGTTGTTTAATTTTATTACATATCACCACTTGAACCACTCCTTCCCAAGTCTGAATCACAAAAGGGTTGGTGCTCATTCCTCCTTTGGTGGAATGATAAGCTGATCAGCTCCCAAAATGAAATTAATTTGAGAGAATGAAAACCATCTTGCTTTCTCCTGTACTATTTTGGCCTAATTCATTAATATGTTCTTTCTCCATGCTATACCCTGCATGCTTTGGGCTGGGGGAGATACCATTACCAGTTAGTGCTGTGTATCTGGGTTTTTTCTGAAATGGAAGGTCCATTTGGACAAATATTATATAGTGGCCTCTTGGAGGCCCATGTAGTAAATCATTGCTTTAGTTGGTTGAAATAAAACAAAACCAACCAAACACCCCAACTGTCATTGGAAAATAGCCCTAAAAAAAAAATTAAAGAAGGCAAAGCACTGGCAATTTTATGAGAAAATGTTGCTGGAATTTTTGATGGTGTGTTTGAAGGATATTTGTGAGCCCTGAACTGAATTTTTATTTTTATGAAAGTTATTTTTATGAATTTTATTTTTATGAAAGTTTAAATATTCTTAAACAGAATATTTGTTCATCACTTCAGGTAGTATCTTCTGGGGTGCTTGTTTTTTAATAAAATACAATAACATTTGGAGAAGAAAAACAAAAAAATTCTAAACCAAAGCCAATTAAATTATTGTTTATCCATCAGCAGAAACCATGTTTCTATGAATTGAAAACCTAGGGAGTACTTATATGTGCGTGTTGTGATGTGGGTGTTCTCTGACATCAGAGTTTTTTGGTAGTTGTACCTGAATATTTACCAGTTCCTTTCACAAGCAGAAGCAAGGCAAGAGGCCAGCCCACATTTTCACAGGTATGATTTATCAGGAATAAAGTGAATCCATTCAGTGACTATCTACAGCATGGTATCTTCACAAAATAAATGCAGACAGTACATGCCATTTTTGTCTCCCAGTAATGTACCAATAAAGCTAATATTTGAGGATGTTGCCATGAAAAAACAAACACATTTTTTTGAGGTTTTGCAGACCCAAAGCTAGCAGGCTGGTGCTCAGGCAGCTCTGCTGACAGGGTGCCAGGGGCAGGCAGTACCCAGGCATCTTCCCCAGCCCCATTGGGAGCCCTGAGCAGGGGCTGCAGCTCCCGGGGCTTCCCCTGTAAAAACACTGCCAAACTGGGATGAGGGATGTCCTGCCACCAAGGCCAGTATTGCTGGCATTTCTCCTTTCTTTTGGCCCAGCAGAGAATGAATTCTGTGAGCACAGAATTAACATTAGTTCTGTGAGCACAGTGGAGGGGCAGCAGCTCCCACTGCCCCATTCCCTGTGAGGTGATAAAGGCATCTGGAAGAGAGGAACAATTCTCCTTTGGAGCCTTGTGCCTGTCCCTGTGTCTGCAGCTTGCCCATTCATGCCTTCCACAGGTTTCCAGTTACTCAGCATTGGCCCCATTTCCAGTGACGTGGTGGAACTCACTATGACAGAGCCCAGCAAACAAGGGTGAAAGGCCTCTGTGACACTTGAAGATGCTTGTAAAAAATGTCTTGTCTTTGGCAAAATGTATTTTGCACAGGTAGACTTTTTTTTTTCATTTTAAATTCAGATATTAACTTGAAAGAATCTGGGTATATCAGCTTTCAGCCTATAAAATACCCCCTGGGAACTAAGGAAAAGCTGCCTTATCTGGCCTCCCCTGCATTGCTCTGGGTGTGATTGCATTCCATGGGGATGGCTGACTGCCTGACACGGGGCATTAGCAGAGCCGGGCTGTTACCCAGAGCACTCGGTGTGGCTGGGGGAAAGCTTCTGATCCTTGGCAAGCCAAGTCTGGAGCCTTGAGGAAAGGCTGGTGAGAAGAGAGGAATGCTGTGCTCCCTGTCACATGCTGCCACATGACCAGAGGCAGGGTGGAAGGACTTTCATTGCCACATAAAACATGGTGCTCAGTTGAGTGCTTTTGCCTGAGGAGGGACTTGTGTTGTTGCCTTTTTTTTTTTTCTTTTCCTCCAGGAAATTCACTCAGGATTTGCTGTAGCAGCAAACCAGGAGCAGATGCTGTCATGTGGCCACAGCTGCAATGAATGGCTGCCAGTGTTTTCTGCTGTCCTGAGTTGTGGTGCGCTCTGAGGGGGGAGGATGCTGCAAGGACACCCCACCCAATGCAGCTGGTTCCTCACACTGCACAAAACCAACCCCAGCACGTTCTTTTACACCCATGTCTTTAAAATGTGCCTCTTTCAGTAAGCTCAGTAACACCCACAGTGTGTTCAGTTCTCCTCACTCTCAAGGCTTTCCAGGAGGTTCACAGATGCTCAGGTGGGTGGGTACTCTGTGGGACCAGCTGGAGGGCAAGGATCCAAGGCCTGCCTTTACCCTCTGAGTCCCTCCCAGCTATGGAAAAGCTGGTGGAAAACTAGGACAGGAGAGGGATTCATCAACACAATTTGTCTCTATTAACAGTTTTGTCAGTGTCCCACTCCCCAGAGGAAGGAGCACACCTCAATCCCTCACAGCTCTTCTCCACCCCTTAAGGCCCAATTTCCTCCCCATAGAACTGAGGGTAGAATCTGCCTGAATTTCATCCCAATGTGACACCAGGGCACAAAGAGACCCACAGTGCCCTTGGCACTGCCACGTGCCACAGGACAGAGCAAGGAGGCAATAGTGCCAGGGCAATGGTGGCCACCACCCTGCCAGCCCTCTCATCTGCGGGCACTGGCTGTGCAAGGACTCAAATGTGCCCTGTGGAGAAGCCTGAAAGCTTCAAAAGCTTCTTGCTGCCCCAAAATGTGATGAAACCTGTAGGGGGATAGAACATAAGTAAATAAAGGTAGTATAGAAAGTAATCTTACCTCCTGAAGAGTTGCAGCTGAGCCAATTACTAAGGATTAGGAGCAGGCCTGACTTTAGCAGGCCACAGCTGTAGCCAATAAGAAGAGTGTTATAAAAGAGTGGATTGGTTGGTTGGGGGGAACTGGAGTCAGTTGGCTGCTGTGAGAAGGAAGAGGCAGTGCCTAGAGGAGCTGTCTGTGAGACTTATCAAGAAGGTACAAAACTCTAGCCATATGGAACCCTTGCAACGTAATGACAACAGAAACCCAGCAACCAAGAGATGCTGGAGCAGCAAAAAGTCTTCCCATCACTTTCATCACTGAATGGTTTCCCTATAGCTGCATGCTCAAATTTTCTCAGCCTTTTGAAAGCTTTACCTAGAAAACTCCATGTGGCTTTAGTGCCCTGAATGATCAAGAGTTTGCTTAGAAAGGTGCAGGAAGAAACCAACTTTCCATCCAGCTCAGAGCACATGCTAGGGAATATTAACCAGGAGAACAGACTCATGCCTGCATTCCTGTACTGGACTCTCTTCCCTACTCTCCTTTCAGTAAGATTGCATCTTCTTCAGCTGCCAGTTTCAATGTCCACACATGTGCATGTCTGTTCCTTAAAAAAATTAACAACCAGACATCATCTGACCTGTCTTATGTCAACTGTTGTGGTTTATTGATCATGTGGTTTATTGGTCTTCCTCTGGTATTACTGTGAACTTGAGATTCCATAAAAATTTGAAAAATTTTTGGAGATCAGATAACTTATTATCATGGAAACACAGAGGGAAACACTGAAGTATAAGTCAAGTATGGTTATCCAGAGGATGGGGGGATCACATTTAATATTTCACTTTCTAGCTCCATGTATTCAGGCTACAGGAAGGGCTTAGTGAGAGATGTAGTTAGGGTTTTGTTACTCAGACATGTGGTGCACCTCATAAATGCAGAACTGTGGTATGCAAGAAATCTACCTATTCACATTGTTTGTTATTTTATTAGTGTTCATATTTCAGCTTTGTAATTAGCCTGAACATCTGGCCAAATAAAATAGTACTTAAATGTATGAGGCTGGCAGGTCAAATACGGAGTGCTTAAAAATAAGTGCTGGTGAATACAGAGAGAAGTTACTGTGTGTGGCTGGGTTTGATAAGCTGACTGGGAGGCCAGGAAAGTGTTTAATGGAGGCAATACCACCCTGCATGTAGAGATATCCTCTCTATGTGATTCCACTACACTAATTATATTTCAGTGCATGGATTCAACTATCTTTTTATTCTAATTAACATTTTTTTTTCCTTTTGATAATTCCAGGAAGGCTTTGTTGTGCTCTAATACACCCAGAATACAAGAAGCTATAGTTGACAACTGCTGTACTCATGAAACAACACTTTAGCTACATGTATTTTATTAAACAGTATTTAATCCAGTTTTACTTCTGTTTGCTCCTGCTCTGAGTCCCACCTTGCTGTTCCAGAGGAGCTGCTGCCCTCCTGCCCAAGGACTGGGAGCAATTCCTCCCGCAGTGTGAGATGGAGACCAGAGTCTGACTGCACCATGGGCTTCAGGACTGACCAGAGCTGTCACTTGTCAGCCCAAGCCATGTTTGAAACTCATCCTAGAAAACAAATGTGCAGGCCAGAGACAAGCACTTCTTGCACTCACCAGGGCAGCCCTCATGACAGCTAAGCAGATAGAAATCACCATCAGAATGGAAGGCAGGATGTGTTTCTGTGTGCTGATGAGCACAAGGGTCTCTCAGCAGTGGTGGCACACTGAAGAAGGCAGTGGTGGTGGCAGAGCTGGACTGTCCAGGATGTTATGTTTGTAGTTTGCCCTGGCTGACCCTTGGGGGACGCTGGCCTGTGGCTGCTCCCTCACATGCATGCAGCAAACACATGGAGTGTGGACAGTCAGGAGATGGACCTCAAAAATATATTCCTGGTGGGAAGGGAGGGGCATCAGCTGCAATCCTTGAAGAAGGCAATGCTTTGCCTGATTTGTTGAATACTGAAGCAAGAACAAGGTTTGTGTAAGGTGAAATCAAATGTGGCCATGGTTACAGATGAGTAGAATCAATTATCATCCAATTTTAAGCTGTGAAGGAATCCTCCTGCACGGCCACTGGAGGTTAGGAGCAGCAGGTAAGGAGACTCTCCTCACACACAATTCTTTAATAAGTCAAAACCCATTGTCAGTGTGCTATGCAATGCCCCATATCAATTTCTAGATACATCAAAATTAGCTCAGTTTTCTTTCTTAGGCTCTCAGACAAGTCCGTATTTTTCCTGATGACGTCTCAGAGATAACTGATACACAGACACACCATACTCACCCCACCAACAGCCTGGAGAGACCAAGAAGAGGAGAGGAACAAAGCCTGGTCCTTGCAGGAGGCTGTCCCAGAGCAGCTCCAGGGCACTGCCGGGGGGCTGCTCACAGCTTGGGGGGTAGCACTGGGGCATTCCCTGTCCCTGTCCCACACAAATACCCTGAGCAGGGATGGGAGGGGGGGATTATTCATTCCCTCATCTCACAGGGCCTCTTGCTACAGCCTGCCACCTCCCAAGTGCTTTCATGCCACATAATTATTCCAGTGAAGGCAGAGACTGTTTATTTTGGTTTAGGGTTTTACTGCTTGGACCACACCACAGCAAATGAAAAGGTTTACTAACAAATCCACCTCCACCTTTTTCCTGTTCTTTTGACCCCGGTTGTGATGAGTATTGCACTGAAAATTGTCTCTGTTTCAAAAGGCTCAATATAATCTGCTCATAAGTGTGCTGTCTCTTCATACTTTGGTAGGTAACAAATGACTGTGATTAAAATAAAGGGTCAGGTGATCTACCAGTAGTTCTGACAAGGACAGCAGCAATAAAAAGCCATAAAGCCACAAAGGTTTCCAAAGGGCACAGTGTAAAACTTGCTACAAACCAAGCACAGCTCTGTAATGATCTGCCTCAATAGCCGCCCAATCATTGTTTAACACCTTTGTATCAAACAATTAGCTCAAGAAGCTGATTTATTTTAATTAGCCAATCAATATTTCTCAGTATTGTTTCTGCTGATCCTGAATTTGTAACCTTCCCAAGACTTCCCTGAGTAACACAGCAAGTTAAGCCTCATGTTATTTTTGCATTAACATTTCAGCTGCCTTTAATTTTTATTATGATTATTATAATTTATTTTTTTTTTTTACAACAGCTGAAACTGACCTGTGTTGGAAACGGCCAGGAAAGTTCAGCCAAAGTGGATGTGAGCAGGATTGAAAGCCCAGGCCTGGTCACATGCTGAAGAAGAGGAGGGTGATTATTTGGGCTCAAGGGGCTTCCACCCTGCCATCAGTAAACTGTGCTGTAAACTGCTTCCAGCACAACCAGACAAATCACATTACTTCTATTTTTGGTATGAAGTCAAAAGCTTAGGGTAGACATAGTAATTATTGTTTCTTAACTTTCAGCCATTCTGGGGAATTGTTTGGGTGTAGGTACCTAGGGCACTGCACAAAAAGAGGTGTATCTGAGAGGATAAGGAGAATGGACTTAATGTCTCTTCGTTCAGCACATGAAGGTATAAAACAGAATCCTCCTCAGAGAAGGGATTATTGATTCTACTTGTTCTGTTTTAGATGAGCACTCAGAGCAGGGAAGTGTTTTATGCAAATGTTGTCTCTTAATGCACCTGCCCCAGCAGCCACTCTCCTGTTAGGTAACTACACATAAAGATCAGACTGAATCTGTACTAAAAAATAGTTAGAGAGTTTATTTTTTCTTGAACCTGGCATGAACTGGAATCTTTGTTCTGAAGTGTTTGTGGAGCCTGTGCTGGGCTCAATTTTTTTTTTTAATAAAGCCTTTCAGCTCCCTGGATAAAACCACACCAAAAATTCACATACAGAAGCTAAAAGAAGGCTATGTCAGTGAGAGTCAACACAAACAGGAAATATTTGTGCTGAAGTCAAAAGTTTGCTGTCACTAATGCTTTACCAGACTGTAAAGGCTGGGAATGAAGGTGTCTCAGAAATCCTAGAGCTGTGTTCTGGGTGAGGAATTTTATGCTGAGCAAGACAAGCAAGGCAACACATTTAAAAACCCAACATATGAATAGTCCATTTATTAAAACAAAAGACTTTTCTACCATAAGGAGGTTACAAGAGAGATTAAAAGAAAATGAATGAAAATCAATCATAAGTAACAAATATCATTGCAGAGATATACTCCCGCTGAAAAAGTCTTTATACATGTTTTAGAAGGAAATGAAGACATTGACCATATCTCTGTCTCACGCACTCTCTCACACAGTGTCTCAAGTTACAGGAAATGACATCAAGCCACCTAGCACAAACCTAATTCCAGAGTACACAATGATTCACACATTGACGTGGATTTGTGAGTATTGACAATGTGAAAAGTTAGATCCAGGAAAAGTTAGATCCAGCTGTGCACACAGGAACTACCAGCCCTGGTAGATGGGAGAGCTCCTGGTTAACCTCTCGTCACTGCTGGTGTTACCTTCAGACAACATGCTGATGGCCTCGTCCGTCTGCTGGCTGTCAGTGGTTGAGATCTTCTTGGAGTCGTGGATGTTGCTTTGGTAGTTCACTGGGGAGGGATAGGCATTTTCCCCCACAGTTGATGAGGACATAGATTCCCAGGGTATTTCTCTCTTTCTCCATTTCAGGTCCACTCTCCATCCTGTCCAGCCATAGAAAGCCAATGTGAAGAGAAAGCCCTGCATGGGATTAAGAACCCCCTGAGAAAGAGAAGGGCAACAGGAGTTACACCAGCAAGGAAGGCTTCATCCTCAACTCTAGCAAAATTATTTGCATGCATTAAAATCTTCCCTTTCACTGAATGATTGCTGACTTTAAAATACACTATTTGCACTCAAATAAAAATTTAGTCATCACAGGCACAAACAAATAAGAGAAAAATACCACGACCTGTTTTCCAAAATGCTGAGGCCATAACAGTAAGCAGTAAGCACAGAAAGATTTTCTAGCATGAAGTTTATCCAGTCAATCCCTTGGTGTGTTTTTAACTTTCCCCACAAGCTCTGGACTAATTTATTCACAAAAGCACGTGTATTTTTCATTACAAGCCAAGTCAAATATATGAGAGGAGACACTAGCATAGACAGTCAAGCTTTTAAAAATAGCAGAAATTGATCTGTCTGGAATTGCTTTAGATTCTTGAGCCAGTGAAAATGTCCATCAAAGTGGGATGGAAAAATGGGGAAAGGCACTGAAAAAGAAAATCCCAAGTGATTGCCAAAAAATTTGTCTCTGTTCCCAGTGCCATGAGAGGCTTAACAAATTAATGGCTTTAGATGCTTCTATTTTTCTCACAGGAAAAGAAGGCAATTCTTTTTACAGCCGTTTTAAAGCAGAGGTCAGTCCCCAGACTTGACCTCTTGCTCTCCAGGTGAGCAAGGGCAAGGTCCCTGCCACATGAATGTGTTCACTCCTTGTCAGAGGAGGAGGTTGTATCACATCATTGCATCACTTAATCCTCCAATATCAAACTGCTCAAATGCTTAATCACACAAATCATGCTCAGGCCTTACATGTATTTAACAACTCCAGAATAAATTCTCTAGGAAAATGAACCTGCACTGTCACCACTGAAAAAATCCCTTGTCAAATATTCTAATAGGAGAAAGAGGCTACAGTAACAGACCAGCATCTCACAGCTATTTTTGGTTCCTTGTCTGAAAGATTTTTCACCTATTTCTTCCCAAATAATGATCCAAATTTCATGACATAACATGCAATCATTCTTTATAATAACAAAAAAACCACCCTAGTTGCAAACAGAGAATTTCCATGAAATGCCCATTTAATTGGGAATCCCTTCAGGAACTGTGAGCTAAAACTTTGCAGCTTGCATTGAGGCAGAGTTTAGCAAGGTGAGGATAGAAATCATTGTAGTTATCTGTTCTGGACCTTAAACTGGTAGTGATCTCTCACAGAGAGAAAGCATACTCCAGTAAAAAGTTAGCCTCTAGGACATTTTTTGGGCAAAGTTTACATGTGAAAAACCCTCCCATTGACTGTTCATTCCTTTCTCTTACTTTCTGCTTTTCTTCCTTGATTTTCAGAGTGTTTATATGCCTCAAAATCATAAACCCCACACTGCACAGGTGTTGTTCCACCAGTCTTACAACACCTTTCTAAGCCCAGGTGATGTCCCAGCTGACCCACCATGATGATCCAGGTGATCAGTGCAGCACTCCTGATGTTTTTCAGGGGCATTTCATTGATGTCTGGCTGCATTTCGAGGTAGAATAGAAGGGTCTCATTGATGATGTTGGATGACCAGCTGTGGCAGGAGCAAAGAAGAAAAGGACAGTTACATATGGATGGGCATGTAAAATATGTTTTACCTTAGAAATATAGAAATTAAAATCACTCTAAGGACAGTGAGACTTTTTAAATCATAGAATCATTAAGGGCAGAAAAGACCTCTAGGATGATCAAGTCCAAGATGGTCGGATTTCTTGTTAAATCTCAATCTGAAGTGACCTGTAGGTCTATGAGATCACAATCAAGGACTGGACCTACCTACTCACCCAGGCCTAGAAAATATAAATCAATATTTTAAAAATCTGATAATTTTAATTTGCTGCAGAACAGTAAATTGCAGAATAAAATTGAGATGAGAAGGAAGTGTGACCCATGATGGGAATATCATGCATGCTGATTTCTTTCACTTGTGCCTTAGAAGAGTTGTGCTCACAGACAAGAAACTCAAATATATGACACATCACATGTTGTTGTAAAATGCTGCAGGATTTCCAGCTGGAGTTAGAATTTCAGGGTTAGATTAAAGACTTCCAGGATGTCCATTAAAAACACCAAAAATACACAAAAGTTAACCTTTAAATCCTTGAAAATGTTAACAATTATTTTTAATTGTTTATTTTATTTTAATTATTTAATTTTTAAATTATTTAATTATTTAATTTTATTTTTTATTATTCAATTTAATAATATCTGTCTCCAAATAAGGATGATATAATCAAGCCTCATTTATTGAAAGAAACTGAGTATGTTTCAATAGAGATTATAGCAAATGGCTGTAAGTTCCTATGACATCTAAACAGTGAGAGAAGCATTTCTTTATAGTTGTACTGTGGCTTCAGAAATGAAACCATCAGCATTCATGTCATACTTTCTAAGGGGTTTTATATTTGTCCTCTGCACAATTATATCTTTATTATAATGTAAAACCTCCTGCTCTCCCCTGCCAAATCTGTAGGCATCTCTTCTATCCTATTTTGCCCCAACCTGCTGTCTCTCACTAAAGCATTCCATATTTGACTTCTGGGATGGAAGGAAATCTTCCCTGTGCTTCTGAGATGAGACTGCCTCAGTCTTTCCCTCCAGTAACCTTTGAGAAAGTTTTTACACTCCAGAGCTTATGTTTTATTAGAGCAAAATCCAAAACCAGAGCTGTGATTTTATTTTTCTATTAGGAAACCCCAGAATGAGACAGAATGGAAATAAACAAATGTCCCCACAATGTCCATGGGAAATTGGCCCTTCCTTTCATGCTTTTTCCCAGATAATCAAGCTGGCCAGCATCCCTTAGGTTGCAATGCACTTCTGTGGTGCCTCTGGGCTCTTTCTTTCCACAGCCCTGGGAGCTTGGCTGAATCTCTGCTCCTTATTATTTCAGCAATTTCCAGGAAGCCTTGCTGCAGGATCCCCTGCTGCTGTCTCTCACTCCCTCCTCTGCTGCCTACCCCACCCTTCACATTGGAAACTTCACTTCCAAGCCAAGAGCACTGTTATTCCCCCAAAAAGACAATAATTTCCTTCCAGAGCACTCCAGTAGACAGCAGCCAAGAGAAGATAAAAGAGGCAGCCTTTCTCCCTGCTCAGCCTGTTAAAGCAATGTAAGATGCATTAATACACCTGTGTGTAAAGAAGTGGGATGTAGAGACTGCTAAGTTTGGCCTTCTCATTTCACTGCTCCAGAACCATTTCTTGTTGTCCCATTCTTCTACTCCTTATCTCTTTTCTGTCCTATGCCAAAGTACTATTTTCATGGGGAAAGATGAAATATTAAAAAAAAATAATAAGAAATTTCACACACAATCATATGGAGTTTTCTTTTCTGGCATTTCCTTATTTTCTAGTCAGTATCCATGTATTTTTCAGGCACTTGAAAACTGCAGAGCACAGAGGTGGCTGCATTGTATGATCGTGGTCAGAGCCATGAAGCCAGACTTAGAAACATCTTTATTGTAGGTCCTCAGTGATGTGTTTGGTGCCAAGAGGCTCTGAGAAATGTTGATTACAGAAAGCCAGCTACCATCTACCAGCCCACAGAGCTGGGAGCCTGCTCTACCAGACAGCTTCAGCCAATGCCCAACCTATTGGGAATTTTTTGCTATTGTTTCTTGTTGCTTTTGCTTTTCTGTTGGTTAAACATTTTATCATTTCCTCACAGCCTTGGGAGTGATTCAGCTCCTTTGTGAGCTAGTTTAGAACTGCTTCTTCCTTAGATACCTTCCCCTCTGAGCATAAAGAAAAACAAATGAAGCAACCCATCAGTCTTTACTCCTGTCCCTGACTCTCTCCCTCTGGGAAAAAGGCACTTTAAAAGAAAATAATGCACCTCTTACCAAATGACAAATACCAGCATAATTTTGAAGAAGCGCATCTGGATCTCTGTCCCCAGACGTCTTTCATTCTCTGTGTAAATTCCTTGTCTGCCTTTTAGTAAGGAGGCAACTGAAAATTATACAATTATGTTCATTAATGTATGCACATCTTGTTAGTTTAGGCACAAAAATCCAGAAGATAGAAGCCTTAAAGAGGGAACAAATGAATAGATGGAGTTGTCCCCAGCAGCTGTTCAGAAACTGGAAGGACCATTTTCAAGGAAATATAGCCTAATACTTAGGAAAATAATTACACACAGCTGGATTCCTAAAATGAAACATATCTCACTATTTTTTTTCTCTTAATCCCACTGAAAATATGAAATAGTATGACCTACATAATTCTATTTCATAACAAAAGGTACCATGTACCTTCTATATAATGTGTGACATAATTATATGCTTATAATGTGATGTTTGAACAGAATCTTCTATCCTATTATGCACATTGTTTTTCATTGTGTCATTGATACAGCATTAGCTACACCTCTAAAACAGGAAGATGGATTGTCAGCAAAAAATTACACTTCATGTTGTTCAGATATCACAAGGAATATAAAAATGCAAGCACAAATATACAAAGAACAACATTTTATTGAAACGACTTCTTAAAAGAACAACTGCTTCATTGAAAATGAGTATAGCTGAGGGACAGAGAATGAATGGGATAAAGACTGAACTGAGAATACTTTATTTTCTCCTGCTTTTTTATATAATCAATGCATAGATGAATTCAGGTACTGCAAATATCCAGGCATGATCATATTACATGCAAAGAATGCATTGAATCTGTGACTTTTTTTCAGTCTCACTTCTTCCAAGCACTGGATAATAAATTGAACTGGAAGGTCAAGATCCCATCTGAGTTGTGTACAATTCCCATCTGTTTCCTAATCTCAGAAGTGACAAAATTCTGATCACATTTTATTACATTTTTTGCTCTAGGGCTGCCAAGAAGTTAAACCAACTCTCTGATCTCACCAGCTAGAATAAATTACATTCCAAAGTTGAGGTTGGTACCAAAACTCCAGTAGAGTTAAGCATCCAGGGTACATTGCCTCAAAAGTTTAAATCAAGTAACATGGAAACATGTTTGCCCACCTGCAGTTAGGGGTTAATAACAGAAGAGATTTTGTGTCACCAGAATTTGTCTCTAGGGCAAATTCCCCATAAAAATGGTGTTTTCATTTCCACAGGCAACTGCTTCCCACCCTTTGCTGTGTCTCTATGATTTCCCAAGGAGCTGTCA